CGACACGCACACCACCTCGACACGCACACCATCCTGGCAAACACACAGTCCCGACACACACACTGTGCCAACACGCACGCTGTGCCAGCAGGTGCACCGCCCCGACATGCACACCGCCCCAACACACGCCAACCTGGCATACGCAGTCCCAACACACACACACCGTGCCAACGTGCACACTGCCAACACGCACACCAGCCCAACATGCACACCGCCCTGACCCGCACACCATCCCTGACGTGCACACCGCTTTGGCACACACACCGCTCTGACCCGCACACCACCCCGACAGGCACATCATCCTGACACACGCAACGCCTGACACACACACTGCCCTACACATGCCATCCTGGCATACACTCAGTCCCGACACATACACCCTGCCAACATGCACAATGTGTCAACACACACACACACCCGACACACCCACCATCCCTGACGTGCACACCACCTTGGCACACACACCACTCTGACTATGGCCGGGAGCAGGAAATTCAGGCTAATGAGGCTGAAAGAGCAAAAGTCTCTCTGGGACCAATTGTGAAAGAAAGTTAAAGCCTTTCTTCCTGGCTGTGCGCGGTGCCCCACGGGCGTCCCCGCGCCGCGGCGGCGGTGCTGCTCCATAACCCCCGGTGCTGCGCCAGGGCCACGGCGCCGTGTTTGTAGGGCACCGCGTCGTACCACGCTGCCGTGGCCTCGCCTCAGCCCCCAGCCAAATGCTGGAGGCTCCCCCCGCAACGCTTTTAATGTGGAGAAAAAAAAAGAAGAGGGTTCTTCTTCCTTCTCCTTCGTAAACCATCTGCACAAATAGTGGTTTTAAAACTGGAAAACCGCTGTGAAATGCTTTTTGGTGGACCAAGCCGACAGCAGTTTTTCAGATCCCGCCTTCCCGTTGCGATGCTCTGTCGTGCTGTTCCCAGTGATACGTACAAAACAGAAAGAGAACAGCGATTTTGTTTCTCAGCGGTTGATGTCCTTTTAAATGTGAAAAGGGCCGAATATTTAGACCCTGATCTTTGGAGAGCTTTGTCTGTGGAAACCCATTACCTTAAATGGTGCAGTATGCTGCTTGAAGTTACAGACTGGAGCCTTAATAAAGCCAGTATCTATTAATCTTCAGCACTAAAAATAATACTACGAGTATGTTTGCATCAGGTGCTGGGCGCCTTTCATGATAGACGCAGGGAACTTGTAAACACCATAATTACTTGCGTTCTTTAGAGGTTTTGTTTCCCAAATTATTTTTTGATTTCAGTGATGCTCATTTGAAATAGTGAAAGTGCATCTCGATCCCTTGCTGTTTTTATCTGAAGAAGAAAAATCTGTAGTTTCTGTGAGCAGCAGGGACTACTTTGTATTGAGAAGATGACATCCATCCCCCCCACCCCACCCTAGATTACAACCCAACTCTAACATTAACTGTGGCACATATGTACCTGCTGAGCAAACTTAGAAGAAGCCTTACAGGCTTTCCTTTCGGTGGAAAGCAGGAGGGGATGGATCCGGAGACCTTCCTCATTTGTTTATCTAGAGGAGAAATAAATCGTGTGTTAGAACATAAAACGTGAAGGCAACGAAACCAGGAGGAGAAGGAAAGTCTATCGGCACTTTCGTCCTTCAGCTTGTTCATGTTCTCATGTAAAACGATCCCATTATTTTGCACCAGTTTCCTACAGAGTCGAGGCTTATTCACCACGAAACGCATGTGTGCAAATTAATTGGAGCTCACAGAAAAATTTAGCTAAGTATGACTGGCGGATGTCGCCGAGATCAGCACGTTTCAGGGCTATAGGTGGCTGGGTAAAAGAAACAGATCTTACTGGTACTCTTGGAGGACAAGGGCGAAAGAGGAGAACGACGTGGTCGGGAGACTACTTGCTTACCAAAGCTGAGAGTAATTCTGGACGTAAACCAGGATTTGGACTCAACAAATCACATATACGAGCAGCGAACGCTAGACGAACTTCTCTTCCATAATAGGCTGTTGGTATAGGTCTGTCTCGGCGTCGGGGAACATAGCTGGCCTTTTCCGCGTAGCTGGAAATTGGTTGCCAAAGAAAATGCCTTGTTTCTCACAAATCCCCTAACACTGCGAAATAAAAAAAAAGCCATCACCTTGTCCGCTTACTAAACGGGAACGACCGCGCCTGCAAAGACCTAACACCTCAAGGGCGGCCTCACGTGAACCGTACTAATGACTTAAACGCCCGATCCGTAAGGCAAAACTGCACGTTGTCGGCAAGAGCTCCGGCAAGGCCTGCGGAAGCGCAGCACTGCCAAGCGGCGACGCGAAGCCTCCCGCCCTCCGCGCGTCCTTAACCGCAGCCGCCTCCCTGTGCAGCAGGCCGCACGGCGGCAGCCTGAGCGTTACAACAGGCGAGACACGCTAGCCTGGGTTTTGTGCGCTCTCTGTAAGAGGCCGTCGGAAAGACGTGGAAGCGTTTCTTGTCCGGAGCCCGATACTCGGGGTGCCCGGGGGCTGCTGAAGGCAGGA